CCCAACCCCCCAAACCCTCACCCCCAACCCCCCAACCCTGCCCTCTGAGCCCCAATCCCTGACTCCCCCAACCCCCAATCTCTGCTCCTAGACCCCCAAACCCTCACACTCACCCTGAAACCCTGCTCCCAGAGCTGTCCCCCGCTCACCCATCCTCCCTGCTGGGCGATCCAGCGGGCGATGCGGTTCTGCAGCATGAAGTCAGCCACGAAGTGGGCGATGCGGCGCAGGAAGCCGCTGACGCCGCGCTGCCACACGTACATGGCCATGCGGTACCCGAAGGCCAGCAGGGCGATCACCCGGCCCCAGTTGATGCCGCTCTCGAACAGGCTGCAACAAAGGGTTCCCTTTGGGAATTCTTTGGAAATTCAGGGATCCCTGAATCCCTGCCCGGAGCTCTCGGCATTCCCGGAGATGCCCAGGCCGGGGGAGCTCAAGCAGCGGGGTCAAGATTGAGGAAATGGCCCCAGATTGTACCAGGAAAAGCTTAGGTCGGATATTATGGAATTTTTTTTCCTCTGGAAGGGTTGTCCAGCCCTGGCACAGCTTGGACAGGCTGGGTGATCTCGAGCAATATCATCAGGATTGAGGAAACGGCCCCAAGTCGTACCAAGGAAACATTTAGTTTGGATATTTGGGAAAATCTAGTCACTGCAAAGGTTGTCCAGCCCAGGGGATCTCAAGCACCGTGGTCAGGCAGAAACAACCCCAAGTTCTTGTTGGGAACATTTAGTTTAGGTTGGATATTATGGAAAACGTTTTCTTTGGAATTTTCTTTTCTTTCTTCTCGAGCAGTGCAATCAAGACAGAGGAAACAGCCCCAAATGATACCAGGAAAAGTTTAGGCTGGATATTAAGGGAAGTTTCTTTCACTGGAAGGGTTGCCCGGCCCTGGGGATCTTGAGTAGCGTGGTCAGGCAGAAACAGCTCCAAGTTGCATCAGGAAATGTTTAGATTGGACTTTATGGAAATTTTTTTTTCTCTGGAAGGGCTGTCCAGCCCAGGCTGGGGGATCTCAAGCAATATGATCAGGATTGAGGAAATGGCCCCAAGTAGTACCAGGAAACATTTAGTTTGGATATTTGGGAAAATCTAATCACTGCAAAGGCTGTCCAGCCCAGGGGATCTCGAGCAGCATGGTCAGGACAAGAGGAAACGGCCCCAACTTGCACCAGGGAACATTAGTTTGGGTATGTGGGAAAATCTTTCCACTGGAAGTGCCCCCCAGCCTTGGAACAGCTGCTCAGGCTGGGGGATCTCAAGCAGTGGAGTCAGAACAAGAGGAAACAGCCCCAAATTGCAGCAGGAGATGTTTTGGTGGGATACTATGGGAATTTTTTTCCACTAGAAGGGTTCTCCATCCGAGGAGATCTCAAGCAGTGGGGTCAGGGCTGAGGAAATGGCCCCAAGTTGCACCAGGAAATTCTCAGGTTGGATATTCCAGAAAATCTTTCCAGTGCAAAGGTTCTCCAGCCCTGCCACAGCTGCCAGAACACCCTCCCTGGACAGATGCAACTGTCCACTGGCTGTGGCCCTGGTGGCTTAGTGGTGGCCTTGGCAGTGCTGGGGAAGGGCTGGACTCAGAGAGGGCTTTCCCAACCCCAACCACCCCGGGGATGCTACACCAGCCCTTGAGGCTCATCCCAGCCACACAGACACAGAGATTTTGTGGCTGGAAGAGGCTCCAAAATGCTCTTGAAGAGTTTGGCATTGATTATTCACACCAGGTTTGGTAGGTGCTTTTCCAGGCTTCCAGCAAGAAGGGGAAAAAGTGAATAAAAAAAATACTGAAAAGAGGAATCTGAGGGCTGGCAGTTCAATCTGCTGCCCTGGGCTGGTGGTCCCTGCCTGCACTGGGCCTTGGAGAGGGAATTACAGCCTGGGAAGGGACACAGAACAGGTGGCAAGAGGACAGGGACAGGGGTAAATTCACCTCTGTGTGACAAGGACAGGAGTTAATTTACCTGTGTGTGGAAAGGGGAAGGATAGGGTTAATTTAATTTACCTGTGTGTGAAAAGGATTAATTTAGCTGAGTGTGACAAGGGTTAATTTAGCTGAGTGTGACAAGGACAGGGACAGGGGTTAATTTAATTTACCTGCGTGCCTTGCCGCCTCAGCCAGCGCGGCTTCCCGGACGGGGAGCAGGAAAAGGACAGAAAGGAAGGAATTAGACACAAACATTGGAGAAAAGAAGGAATTAGACAGAAATGCTCAGCAGAGGGCACAGGGACAGGGCTGTCACAGCCACAGGTGTTTGGAAGAGTGACAGGAACCAGAGACCTGTCCTGCCTGTGCCACAGGGCTGCGTGACCTGGGAGAACCCTGCAGAGAGAATCCCTTGATGCCTCCTCAATCCAAGCTTCCTTGGGAAGTCCTGGCAGGAAGTTTTCCGGGTCTGTGCCCTCACTCCTCACCTGTTGCTGTGCTTTGGATATTTGGATATTTAGATATTGGGTGGCTGTCACCTGCACAGGGCTCTGTGTGTCACCTGCAGGCTCTGTGTGTCACCTGCAGGCTCTGCCAGCCCATGGAGCAGCCCCCATCCCGAGGTGTCCATGTGGACCAGGTTGGACAGGAGTCCTGAGCCACCTGCAGGTCTCACAGCCAGCATCCTGCCCTTGGCAGGGGTTGAGGTGAGATGACCTTCGAGGTCACTCCCAACCCAACCATTCCATGATTCTGTGATTCCTGTGACCATCCCAGCTCCAGATGTGGAGCTATGGGTGGGGTTGTTCCCAAGGGACAGCCGGAGCAGCGACAGGGCTGGCTGTGCCCCTGAGGGGACAGGCACAGGGACATCTCCTGACAGACTCCAGCCAGCTGGGCAAGGACTGGGATGCCTGGGAGGGGACAATGATACAAGCAGATCACAGGAGGAGGAGCAGACAGGTAGAAAACGCAGGAATCATCCAGGGAAGCTTTCTGGGAGCTCAGCCAGGGCTGGAGGTGAAGCTCGAACAGACAGAGTATGGGTTTAACTGACAGCACTGACCACACCTGACCTCCCCTTCCCTTCTCCTCTGAGGAAAGCCCCCAGCCCATCCAGCAGCTCCTGAGGCCTTACCTGGAGGCAATTTTGGTGAAGTGCTCGTAGGCATTGTCGCGGGTGGGCTGCAGGGTCTCCAGCATGGTGCGGAACTCGTCATCATAGTTCTTGTAGATGTCATCCCCAATGAGGGCCAAGCGCTGCCCCACCTGGCTCCCGGTGCTGCTGGAGCCAGCAGGGAGTCAGGCCAGGCTCTGGAGCATGGCCTGCCTCAGGGTGAGGGCTGGGAGCTGGGATTTACCTCTCCAGCTCCTGCTGGATTTGCTCAATCTCCGGGTCCGGCGGCAGCTCTGCCCCTCGCTCCTCGCGCTCCTGCCGGTAGCGGTAGAAGACGTAGCTCCGGAACACCTCCTCGGCCTCCTCTGCCACGCGGCCTTCTGCAGGGGCAGGGGGGACAACACTCAAGGCACAGACTCATCTCCTTCCATTCTCAAATTCAGAAGAGGCCATTCCCTCATCCTCACCCCGAGTTTGTGCTGGTTGTGGTAACGCCAGCCTCTTGTGGCAGTCCCAAAAAACACCCGACACAAATGAATGCTCAGAGAATTAATTTTTTCATCCAGTCATCTTCCTGAGGGCACAGCCTCCTTTGGGATCCACTCCAGGCAAGAGGACTGGCACAACACACACCAGGTATTGGAGCACTTTGCAGCTTTCCCCATGCTCCATCAGGACTTTACCCAGCACAAACAATTGGGGAATTTCAGATCCAAACTGGAACTGGAGACAAAGCTCAGCCTGGTTCTGCCCAGCAGCTCCCAGCAAACAATCCTGGTTTGTAGCATGTCCTTGCGTGGCACAGCCGTGACAAGGTGAGGAAAAGATTGGTCATTTTAGGGGCATTCCTTCTGGATTCAGTCACATCCCTGGTGCGACGTGCCACCACCAGCAGGGACTGTCACCTCTGCAGGAGCAGAAGGGAGGGGAGGCTCTGGGCAAGTCCCAGAGAGGGGATTCCCCACCCGTGACAGCAGGGAAACAGCTGAAATGGGCCTGAATGGCTGCTCCAGCACATCCAGGTGGGAGAAATCCCAAAATCCCCTCTGTGCTCTCAGAAAGGGTGGGAGCAGCGAGCTGGGGTGCTGGGGCTGGCTTTGAGGGCCAGGGCTCCCTCCTTGGCTCTCATCAACAAGTAGAGCTTGGCATTCCAGGAATTCCAGGCCCAGAGGGGGAATGAGCCTGTCTGTGACAGCTCCAGACACACACACATGGCCCTGTCCCCACAAAACCATCTCCAGACTCACACACATGGCCCTGTCCCCACAAAACCTTCTCCAGACTCATACACATGGCCCTGTCCCCACAAAACCATCTCCAGACCCACACACATGGCCCTGTCCCCACAAAACCTTCTCCAGACCCACACACGTGGCCCTGCACTTTCACAACCTTCTCCAGACACACACACATGGCCCTGTCCCCACAAAACCATCTCCAGACCCTCACAACCTTCTCCAAACCAAAATGTGGCCCTGTCCCCACACAGCCATCTCCAGACCCACACTTGTCCCCACACAACCTTCTCCACATCCCACACGTGGCCCTGTGCCCTCACAATCAGCTCCAGACCTATAAAAACATCCCTGTCCCCACAAAATTGTCTCCAGACCCACACTTGTCCCCACAAAATCATCTCCAGACCTACAAAAACATCCCTGTTCCCACATAACCTTCTCCAGACCCACACACATCTCTGCACCCTCACAACTCTCTCCAGACCCACACACGTCCCTATGCCCATACAAACATCTCCAGGACCACATGTTTTGTCCTTGCCCCCACACAACCTTCTCCAGACCCACACAGGTGTCCCTACACTGCCCAGGGAGCCCCCAGAGAGGCGTTTCAGCCCCATGGTGAGCAATCCCTCACCACACACATTCCACAGCTCCAGGGAAAGTCCCCACTCTGCCACGGGATGTGCTGGATTAGAGCTCTGTTTCAGCTGCTCCAGAAGCACCTGGAGAGGGTCAGTGGCTCCCACAGCCCCACTGAGTGACCCCACAGGGGCCAGGAACACCGTCCTTCCCACGTTCTTTGCCCAGATAAAAATGGGGACAGGAGTGGTGGGGCAGGACCAGAGCTCAGCTCCTTTCAGAGAGCACCCAGACACTGCCCAGGTACAGGAGGTCCCAGGACAGGGGCAGGAGTGGGGGATCCTGCAGGACTGGGGCTTTGGGGGATCATCCTGCAGCTCCATGGTAGCCAAACCCTGTCCCACCATCCCATAAATCCAGACTGGCCACGCAGCTCTCCAGAATCTGACTTTCCAACTTGAGATCTCCCTGCCCAGAGCTGGGAAGCGAGGGCACAGCTGCTCTGGTGGTGCTGCCCCACAAACCCCACCCCAAGCCCCCAAATCACACCAAATTCTCCTCACGGGGTTTTCCAGCTGGTCCCACCTCCCTGTCCCGGATGGACCTGCCATGCTCAGGTTACACCGGCAGAGCTGAAGGGAAAGGACAGCTCCCGTCCCTGGTTCCAGGGGCTGGTTTTTGTTATCAGACACGGGTTTGTTTGATGGCAAACAAATCCTTCACTTTCTGGGAACCGGGACTTGGTGACGCTCCAGGGAGAGCCAGAAAATGAAACCAACTGACTCAGAGTTTCAGGGAGAGGAGGGCAAACACTCGGCCAGGCAGAAGAGGAAATCTCTGCACCAAAATAATTCTTGGGTTTGGCTACCCCAGGAGCTATTTCCAGTAACATCAGGGCAGGAGGACACACTCCCCCTTCCCACAGGTGCTATCCCCAGCACCCACTGGGATTGTCTTGGGATCTCTCCTACTGGAGGGATCTGGATCAGGGTTTGCCTGCTGCATTCCCAGTACCAGCAGTGCCAGGGGGAGGTTTGGTGCTGCTCAGGGATCTCTGGAAGGCAGGAACTGCTCTGTGCCTGCTCCCTCTGGGATCCGCACCCTGGATCCACAGAGCAGACAGCGCTGCCCAGACCCAGAGAGCCCCAAACATTCAACCCCTGCATTTCTGTGTGAGATCCTTTATTTCTCACTACTCCCATCTCCTGGGAGCAGCTGTGCTCTGGGAAAAACTGGCAGCTCTGGCCAAAAATCTCCATCAGCCCCAAATAATCATCCCAGGCAGGGACTGGTGAAATCTGGCCCCATCCCCTGGAGCCCAGGAGACAGGGATCAGCTCCCTGCACAGAGGGAGATTCCAGCCTGCAAACAGAAGACATCCCCGGAAAGCAAAAGCAGCCTCTGGAGATTTCTGCCCCCAGGAAAGCCCAGCTCCACCTCACTGCAGCTGCAGTTTGAGTGTGGGATGAGCAGCTGGGTTTGGGTTTGATCCCAGCAAGCTGGGCAGCCCCTGGTGGTTCCTATTATCCATTAACAGCGATTCCATGAGGGATCCAGGGGTGGCCAGGGTGAGCACTGCACTGTGCTGGTGTAATCCTGCTGGAGAGCAGAGCCTCCAGACAGGGGATACCTGCCAGCCCTGAGGGATCTGCACAGCACAGAACCTTCCCCTTCCTCTGCTCTTTAGAAGCAGCACCTTCCCACCCTGAGGAGGGGCAGCATCCCCAAATATCTCCCTGCAGAGCTGAGGGGCAGCCTGGGCTGTGAGACATGAGCTCATCCCTCAAAAAAGGGAGATTTTCTGCTCCAGGTCCTGAACTAGGCTCAGGAAAGCTGCTGTAATTGTGCTATTCATGAACAGAGCTGTTCCTGTTCCATCACACACTCCCAGGAGGCTGAGGAGGCTCCTGTCTTCATCCACAGTGCCCTAAAACCCCCTAAAGACACACCTAAAAACACCAGGAGAGGAAGGTGCCCCCCAGCCCTGCCACCTTGGCCATGCCCAAGCCAAGGAGGGCAAGGGCTCACAACAATACCCAAGCAAATCCCTGAGCAGGAGAGAAAATCTATGCTGCATCCAAAGGCAAACAAGCAGAGCCCCAAATGAAATCCAGGCTCAATCCCTGCAACAAAGCCTCTTTCCACCCCTCAATCCCACAGTGATATCCCTGCTCCCACTGGGGCACATGAGGCTTCTGCCACCTCCAAATTCCAGAGGTGGAATTCCTCCCGACTCCCCCTGAGTTTTGGGAAGCAGAAGGATGCTGGGACTGCCAGTAAGTGTCTAAGAGAACAGGAACTGGGACTGTGGCGTGCTCAGAGCTCAGGGCCTGATTTCTTGCTGGTTTTCACATCAGCATCTCATTGGCCTCAACAGGAAATCAGCAAACAGCCGCTCCTTTTTGTGGATTTTTGTACCTCCTGGATTCTGGCATGGCAAGGACGGGGTATTTTCCCTTCAGGGAAAGGGTCTGGCACTGAGAGAGGGAGCAGAGCCCAGGCAGCAGCAGAGCAGAAATGCCATGGTCAGGGCAGAGCCCCGGGCTGGGCTGAGCTCCACCGCCCCACCCCTGAGTGCTGACAGAGCTGACACAGCCGATCTTCCCTCACCTGCCCAGCAGCACCAGGAGTCACCATGTCCCACCTTTCATCCTGTTGGGATGAGCTGGGAGATGAGGGTTTTTCCAGGTTGCTGTCATCCCCTTCCCAGCTTCACCCATTAAGCAGGGAAGGGCAGGGCTGGGCTCACACGGGGACAGAGTGACCCTACCCCCAGCTCACCACCACTGCCCCGGGCACACGGGACCTGATGTCACCCTCAGGCCACCCAGACCGCCTGAGATCTGTGATTTAAACCCCAAACACCTCCTGCTCTCTGCTGCTCAGGGAAGGAGATACACAACACCAGGCAGCTCCTAGCACTTTGTTCTCTCTGTGCCTTCCAGTCCCACCTTGCTGCCCACCCTGACCATCCAATGAAAAGCACACAATCCTTGATTATTTTGGATAGAAAAGAACCTTAAACCTCATTCTGTTCCACCCAGGGACACCTCCCACTAGAGCAGGATGCTCCAAGGCCCTGGCATCTCCCAAAAGCATTGAGCACCTCCCAGTTCAACTCAGTTCCTTATGGAGCTGCTCTGTTACCCCAGCCTTGCAAAAAGCCCCAGAGACAGGAAATCCTGTCTTGCCAAAGGAACACAGCAAGGGAATGAATAAAAAAAAATAAAGGTTTGGAGCTGCTCCCTCCCAGGAGCACCCCAGAACCCTTTACCTGAGCTGAGCCCGCTCCCGTGGCTCCCTCGGTGTCCCTGCGCCTGTGGAGGGTCCCCCTCATTCCCTGAGGCCATTGCAGAGAGGTTTGGGAATGGCAGCTTCACCTGGAAGGGTGATGGAGATGATGACTGTGGTTGCTCACAGCCCAAGGAATCCACTCTGGCAGAGCCAACTGCTCCAAGCTGTGTTTATCTCTGCCAGTGGCTCCTCCCTTCCTGGCGCACTCACTCTGTCCCACAGGAGAGCTCTGGGTTCTGGGTCCACCCCCACTTCATGGGCTGATGTTACCTCATGCTACTAGAATTCCTTCCTTTCATTTTTCCTCCATCCTGTTCTGAGAGAGCTGTGGCCTGCACCAGCTCTTCCTCAGCCCAGACCACAGAGCTTCAGAAAAGTCTGGCACTAAAATTCCAACACCTCTGCAACTCTCTGGCTGCGACCACACCGAGCTGCCATGACAACATCTTCATGAGATGAGCCCTGATTTCCTCCTGGACTCCAATTTCCTCTAATTCCCCTTGCTCTTTACATTTCCCCTCTCAGAAAATAAGAAAATTAAATGAGAACTAAACTCAAAGCTCATCTTTTCCCTGAAGTTCACAGGAATCCTACACCCGCACTTCTGGACTCATTAGAGCTCCTTTGCCCTCAGGGGTTTGGGAGGGAAATGAAGTTTCCCTCAGGATTAACAAATTAATGACGTCCCCCTCAGGATTAATGATTAACAGGATCAGGACAGCTCCTTGCTGCTGACATTCCAGAGCATATTCCCATCCCACATTTCCACATGGCTGAATTGGGGCCTTCCCAGCTTTGGACCAAGCCTGAACTCACGGATGAGACACCTGACACAACGGAATTTAAATTGCATCCCTGACAAAAATAAAGGAAGTGCTGGGTAGGGATAAATAACCACCCATGGCTATGGGAGAAGTGCACGGTGTGGTTCAAGCTCATGGCATCACGCTGGAGATTGTTCAGAAGGAAAAATAAATGTGAGACAGGAAGTGCAGTCTGTTTTCTGTGGGATTTTGCCTGGAAGTGCAAAGCGGCTCCACCTGGCTTAGAAAGCCACAAGATCCTGGCACAGCTGCACTCAGGGCCTGGAGACCAAGATGGAAATGCTGTTTTTTCCTACACTCCAAGGATGGGAGGACAGGATTTCCTCCTTCCTCCCCAGACTCAAACATGTCCATCCAAGGAAGAGCTGAGAATGCAGCAAGGCTCATCAGCCGGGAGCAAATCTCTGGGGAAAGCTTCCAGCCACTCGCCAAGATCGGCTCCAGAGCTGCCTCTCCTGGCTCATAGAATCACAGAATTCACTGTCCTGGGATGGTGCAGATCCTTGGGATGGTGTCCATCCCCTGGGATGGTGGAGATGCCAGGGATGGTGCAGATCCCCTGGGATGGTGCAGATCCCCTGGGATGGTGCAGATCCCAGAGATGGTGTCCATCTTCTCCTCCACTGAGGAGCCTCCTGTGCTTCATCCTCTGCCATGCCAGGCCATGGCTGAACCTACCTGCACTGAGAGGACTCAGAACTGTTCCCAGGCTGGAAGCAGCTCCTTGGAGCCATGGGAACTGGGAAAAGTGGGAATTTCCTCTGAACACCACAGTGCCACTGCTCAGGTGGCACAGGATGCTGGGCAGGGTGTGGATGCACCCAGCAGAAAGCTCAGGAGCCTCTGGAGCTTTTCCAGCTCGGCGTGTGGGGCAGCAGGGCTGTGTCCCACAGTGACCAAGGGCTGCCCACGGGTGACAGGGGCTTTTCCTGCCTGGAATGAGTGAGGGCAGTCAGAAGCAAGGACTTCCTGGAGCATGGGCTGCCTGTGCAGCACAGAGCCAGAGGCAGATGACTCATGATTTTCAACTTGCATTTCATTTTGAAGCACTGCAGGAACTTTTGTTTTCGGTTTCCTCCTGGGCCCTGGCAGCGCCGTTTTCCCCGTGACACAGGACACTGCAACCCTGTCACTGCTGTCCCCAACCTCTGCCAGCCCCAAAGGCCTGTGTGGACTCCCAAAAGAGTTCACTACTCGTCTCTGCAGGGGTCAGAGCGCCTCAGCCCATCCTCTCCGGGTTCCAGAGCTGCTGCCTGTGCTTATCCTGCTTCCCAGCTTCCCCCTTTGTTACAGGAATACCGAGCTGGAGAACAGGGAAGGGTGTGAAGGAGGAGATAACACCCAAACACCCAGAGACAGCCCAGGGCTGCGGGAAATGAAAACCCTCCGAGATCTGAGTCAGGGCTCAAGGGAAGGTGTCAGGGAAGCTGCAGGGTCTGACCACCCTAAGAGGGTCTTGCAGGAGGCTGCAAGGGGTTAAAAGCAGCAGCCAGAACTTTGGGTGGGATTTAGCTCCAAGGGTGGCACAGGGCTCTTGTCTTCAGTAAGGAGCACCTGCCATGCCAAGAATGAACCTTCCTGGAACTCCCAACCCTCCCCAATAAAACAGACACCTTTGCCTCCACTGTTCCTCATTTCCCCCTTGTCTCCTCCCCTTAGAAGTCTCAGAGACATTTCCTGGGTGTCTTTAAGTCACCCTCATCACTTCTCCCAGCTTTTCTCCAAAGCAAAGTTCCTGAACCCTGGGCTCGGGGAAGACAGTGGGGAAAGGAAACAGATCCATGAGGATGAGCAGCGGCAATCCCGATATCCAAGCCCAGCCATTGGGCTCTGCAATCACCCCCTGACGTGTTAAGAATGCCAGGAAATAGATGGAGCATCCCCTGGGACGATCCTTTGGCAGCTCAGCTGCGTGGCAGTGATTCCATGAGGCCGTGCGGGGCAGTGATCCCTCCTGGGACAGAGATCCCACAGGATTCCTGATCCCAACCCCGCTCCTCGCCCTGCCCCAGGGCAGCGACATGGGGAGTTTGCCCAGTTTGGGGGCTGCCCAGTCCGGGGTTTTCCCACCCAGCAAGGCCCCAGGGTGGGCAAACGACCCCCAGCATCCATCCAGCCAAGGTCCCCCCAAAGCCGCGCCCGCTCCGGGGGTCCCCGCGGGGACAGCGCAGCCACACGTGCCCTGCCCTGCCCGTGCCCAGGTCACAACCCGGGCGTGGTGACCCGGGGTGTCACCTGTTCCTCAGCGGGGACAGCTCTGTCCCCCCGTGTCCCCTCTCCGGAGCCCTTCGGTTGATGCCGCGGGCAGCTGTCACCACCGCGGCGTGAAAATCCCAACTGGAGAAAACTGGGTTAAACGAGAGGAAATTCCCTATGTGGGGCAGGTAAATTCTCTCTTTGGGGCAGGGACCCGCTCGCAGCGGGACCTCCAGCCCTGCTCCGGGCGTTTCCCGCACCCAGCGCGGCCGTTGAGGAACTTTGTCCCTGTCACCCTTCCCGCACCCCCGGAGCTCCGCAC